TTTGTGTGTGTGTTGATTTCATGACTAGGAAAAGCAGTATCAACCATTTTGTATTTGGCGTGTTTAGTTTTTCGCTGCTTATGTGTGTTTGCTTATTAGATTCCGCTTCAAATCACGGTGGCTCTTCTTCCTCCTCGGTGGCTTTTCCATTGGTATTTGAAACTATTACTGTTACCATAGAAACATCGCTCCCTATACACTACTCATATAAATTTTTTAAAGAAAAACACACAAGCACAACACAAAATGGAATAAAATATAAATACAAAGAAAAGATTACAGCGAAGAAAATTCACCTTACAATGATTTCCTTTAATAGTTTTACGATTGTATTTATACATGAATTACAATGGGCAATAAAATGTACTTTTGTTATATGTATATGTGTGTGCGTTGAAATTAAAAAAAAAGGAATGGAAATACTTCACATGTTAGACGTCGTCAAAAATTAACATCACTTAAAGAGATCACTTACGACAACGGCACATGTCAAGTGATCCACAACGGAAATCTCAGCGAGGCGTTTGGAGTAAACACAGGAGTCAGACAAGGGTGCTTATTATCACCAATGATATTCCTAATTGTGGTGGACTGGATTATGCGTCAGACAGTGAGAAACGAGAAGACAGGGATATCCCGGACCGACGTGAAGAACCTAGAAGACCTGGACTTCGCGCGTGGACGACTTATGTTTGATGTCACACAAAATCGAAGACTTACAAGCGAAAACCGACAGACTGGTCGAAGAAGCAGCTGGAGAAGACAGGACTCCAGGTGAACATAGACAAGACAGAGGTTATGAAAATAACCAACCAACAACAACAACAGCAGCAACATCCAGCCCCAATCACTATCAACGGGAGGGATTTGAAAGAGGTTACTTCATTCACTTATCTAGGGAGCATTGTCTCAACTACAAGTAGGAGGAACGGACGAGGATGTGAAATCGAGAATCTCGAAGGCGAGAAACACATTCATCAACCTGAAACCAATCCAATCTGGAAATCTTCCACTGTCACTCCTCAACATCGACAACAAAATTCGGATTCTCAATACAAACGTCAAGTCAGTCAGTCAGTTCTTCTATACGGATGGATGAGAAACTTGGCCAGTGTGTCACAAAGAATATTTCCAACAGCCTGTTGCAGACCTTTATCAACAAGTAACTGTCTTCACTGGCTCTATACTGAAGATCAGATGGCCGGAGAGAATCACCAACAAGTTCATCAGTGCTGCATCAGTTTTGACCCAACTCACATAACCAAACTGATATAAGAATAAAACTTGGGCAGTGTGGTATAGTGTAATTCCATTATGGGTACATTTTTATTTTGATAGAGTCTCACAGTGTTATACAGTAATATTTACTGATGACGTTTCGAGCACAATTTATTGCTCATAATCATATCAAGGTGATATGATATGATATGATTATGATTATTATGATTATTGATATGATTATGAGCAATAAATTGTGCTCGAAACGTCATCAGTAAATATTACTGTATAACACTGTGAGACTCTATCAAAATAAAAATTTACCCATAATGGAGCCTGTTGCAGACCTTTACCAACAACTAACTGTCTTCACTGGCTCTATACTGAAGATCAGATGGCCGCCGGAAAGAACAAGAACCAACAAGAAACAAACTATGGGAAGAAACAAAACAAGAAGCAATCGCTCAACAAATATGCAGGAGAAAGTGGAGATGGATTGGACAGTCACTGGCTGAGGAGGCCGCTTGCTGGGTGACATCGCGCGTCAGGCCAGTGCTCGAGTGGAACCCGAAAGGGAAGCGGCGAGTGGGACGTCAGTGCAAGGGTGACATGGAGGAGATCGTGCGAAGAGGAGCTGAAACAGTATGGACTAACATGGATGCAGGTAAGAAGGACAGCAGAAGACAGAATCAAGTGTAGACGTGCAGTTGAAGCCCTATGTTCCACTAGGAACCCAGGGGAACAATAATAATAAAGACATTACTGAAAATGGAGGAGCACTGGATGCTTCTGCATTTGTACACACAATCCCACTAGGGGTTGAATCGGTGGCCTTAACTTAACGAGAATTGTCTTTTTGACCATTCAATCACTTTCACTGAATCATAGTGAACCGTGAACTCTAATCTTCATCAGCTTGTGACATAGTGCTACCCTGACGAGTGTCTTCGATGAGCGATCACTTCATCTTGAATTGTCAGACTCCACTGGTCACGAATTCTCAGTACAGCTACAGAACAACTGTCTAGTAGCCAAGAATGAGCTGGTTGAAGTTGATATTCAGGCACTCACCCATCTCAGAGAGTAAAGCTAGAGCCTTCCGGTTACAAGGCGAGCTTATACACCTTTTTTAAGCTTGAGATTTCTTCTATGAAATCAGTAGAGATAATTCCAACTGATTCTTTAAATCACACTGTTGATTTAAGCACAAAATTTGCCAAGAGTACGGTTTTGTATATTATAAATAAGATATTAAAATATAATGCAGATCGTGAGATGTCTATAGTTAAATTTCAATAAATGTACTGCCAATATATGAATCAGTAAGAAAAAAACAGAAAAGATATGCCAAGGGCAATCCGCAGTCAGATTAAATAGCGCGCGAATGTCTAGATGAAGAATAAAGGGATCGGAATAAACAAAAATCATCGCGACGTGGAAAAAAAGGAAGATACCACTTAACTATCAGAAGATCTTACACAATATTCATATATTAAGTGAGATAAACATCAAAAGCGAACAACGGTTATGATTACGCAGTAACAACACAACCAAAATATATACGTACACTACTTACTACCGATAAGTAGTATAAAGTAGAACACAAGAGAAACAGTAACAAAGTAACAAAGGGAAGAAAAGAATAAACATGGCCACTAGGATGAAACTGCAAACCAACACCTGGAATTTAATCTAGTCTGAAGTTCCAGTAGGAAGTCGTGACCTCACCAGGATGGGTGTGAGAACAAACACTAGAAGACTACACATCAGCTGGCAGTCGCGACGTATACCGCTAACTGACAGAAATTAGAATTTAAGGGGACATTGGAAACTGTCCCAGTGGCTCAATAATACATGATCCTTAATTGCAGCCTGAAGATCCTGGTTTCTATCATTGGTGAAAACAGGACTGTGTAATACACAAAGGGTCTCAAACGTGGACGAAACAGCTGTTTGAATACTCCCCAGTTTTCAGTGGTTCTCTAAATGAAGTCAGTTCGTCACCAACCCCAATTACTACTATTGCTTCTTCAAACGAAGCTGATCAACCATTGTATAGATGGCGTTTCGCTATTGTTTTTGTCTCCAACTGAGTGTAGAATGCAGAGTGAACGCAGATGTACATACAATACGCGAACAAAAAACCTGGGAGTACTGGACAGGTGTTTCTACCGTCCTAGCTTGGGGCTCTTCATCAGTACGCACCCACCAACAGGGTTCGAACCCAGGACCTTCTCGTTACAAGGTGAGCTCGTATACCATTAAGCCACTGGGACCCAATCCAATGGCCCATGAATTCTAACTTCTGCCAATTCACAATATAGCCCAACCGCTAGCCAATGTCTTCGGCGAGTATTTGTCCTCACACCCGACCTGCTGCACCCTACTGGTCACGGCTTCTCACTAGAACCTCAGGTAACTAACTACCTGAATAGGGCAAGTCGCTAGTGAGCATCTCATTGATATTCAAGTGTTGGTTTGAAGGGATTTGATTGGCTACAGGATTTTCATCATGAGCTGACATTAGTTAGAGAACCATTGGAAAACCAGCAGGGAGTACTGGACAGCTGCCTCATCCCGGTGGATGCGTACTGATGAAGAGTCCCAAACTAGGACGAAACAGCTGTCCAGTACTCCCTGCTGGTTTTCCAATGGTTCTCTAACTAATATCAGCTCATGATGAAAATCCTGTAACCAATCAACCAAATCCCTTCAAACCAACACTTGAAAACTAATAACCTAAGAAGTTCACTGAACATGGGTGGGTGATTCGGGCAGACTATTATTAACCCATGAGAACAAGAGATAACGTGTTGAAGTTCATATGATCATGATTGACTGTCTTTGTTACTCAAAGCAGAAATGTATGTTGTAAGGATGTTACATCTAAGCGTCCTGTTAATCTCTGTGATGCATCATGAATATACTACGTTCTAAAATAAGAAGAAAATTAATATCAAGGAAGTTACAAAGCAGGAAGAAATGAAGCTGCTGAAATCGACAATAATATTAATAATAGTAATAATAATAATTTGCTTTATTCCAAAACAGTACATGTGATACAGAA